AACAATTAGTCCAAGGGACTGGTACACCATGTGATCCTCAGTTTATATGACTATGAGACCAGAAGAACTAGATGGTGCCTGCCTACCACTGTCAATCACTCAGAGGGGGATCTATGTAGGAGATTCTGGATAGAGTAGGAGAACAATGAGGAACAAAACTCAAAATCATAAAAAAAAAAAAAAAAAAAAGGAACCAGGTTTGCTGGTTTGATGGATCTGGTGGAACCATGAGACTATGGCCCATAGCTGCCCTTCAGGTCTGGATTGAACCCACTCTTGGCTTCCAGCCAAATAAGACAGGCATGTGAGCTGAACATTTACATTAGGCAAATACACTCCTTGGAGAGATCAATCATGGGAGAATAAAAGCGCTGTATATGCACAGGGAGACAGCTCAAGGGACAGGAGTGCATGAGAGGGAAGGACACAGGGAAGAGGTAGCTATGGGGAGGAAGTGGGAGGAGACCTGCTGCATTATGGGAGATTACAGTCAATGTCATAAGACAAAGTATGTGAACTGCTATACAGAAGATGAATTTGCTCTGTAAATTTTTACCCAAATCACAATAAAATTTTTAAAATATATATATATAATTAAAACAATACCATTTTAATATGGCAGAAAACGGTATTTTGCTCAATCATCACTTCTAAAAAAATAAATAATAAATAAGCCCAAAGCAAATGTATTAAAAGTGCCCAATACCTCGAGTCTTCCACAGGAACCTACCTATGAATACAGCAAAGTCCTACAGAAGGAACCTAGCTTTGGGTCAAATCCCAGTTTCCCCATGTACTATCTGTATGACTTGAGCAAGAAAGGTTACTCCCTAAACCTCAGTTTCCTAATCTATAAAAGGAAGATAATGCCTTCATAGCTTGAAGGATTTAATTAAATGAAAGATATAAACCAAACCATACCCACTGTCCTCGACTTGATTTCAGCTCATAGTGACCTTACAGGACAGAGTAGAACTGACCCACAGGGTTTTTCCAAGGCTGTAATCTTCACAGAAGTAGACTGTCACATATTCCTCCAGTTAGCAGCCAAGTACTTTAACCACTGAACCATTAGGGCTCCTATAAAAAATATAGAAGGGAACTTGAATTTTGGCAGTACTACTAATAATGAGGCAAGGACTGGGTTCCATCTCTGTACCCAGCACTTTTAAAGGGTTTTACTAAATAGTGGATAAGCATTAAGGAGCTCTGCTGGTGCAGTGGTTAAGACATTTGGCTGCTAACCAAAAGGTCAGTGGTTCAAACCCACCCGCTGCTCTGTGGAAGAAAGAAGAGGCAGTCTGCTTCTGTAAAGATTTACGGCATTGGAAACGCAATGGTGGTTGCAATGAGTCAAAATCGATTCAATGGCACTGAGTTTGGTTTTTGGTTTGGACAAGCATTAAAAAGATCTAAAGTAAATCTTAAACATCTGGAGTTTATTCAGCTATAAAATGGAAGACTGGACTACCTGATCTCTAAGCAATTTAGCCATTCTGAAAAACTAAACCCCTGATTTCTGCTAAATATGACTTTCATTTTCTTCTTCAACATAAGAAACTCATAGTCCCTTATAAACAAATAAGGAAAACCAAGACAAGACAAGCTATCCAGGAAACTTCTCATTTCAATTATATTAAAATTATAGACCATGCTTTTTTTTGCAGAGGGTAGTGGCATGAGATGGGTGCCTGGCTGATTTATCCGTATTAGTGGCAGGCAATAAATTGCCTGCAATACTGCATTCTCTGGTACAAAGTTACTGCTAAGCACACTGTCTACCACACAGGACACACTAGAAAATGTTGAATGCATACCTAACTCACACCTGTTATCCATCCACTGCCATCAAGTAGATTCTGACTCATAGCAACCCTATAGCACAGGGTAGAACTGCCCCATAGGGTTTCCAAGGCTATAATCTTTCCAGAAGCAGACTGCCTCATCTTTCTCCTGTGGAGTTCCTAGTGGGTTCAAACCAGCGACATTTTGGTTAGCAGCTGAATGCTGTTGCTGCTGCTGCTGCTTTTTTTTTTTTTTTTTAATTGGGATTTGGGTGAAGATTTATAGAGTAAATTCACTTTTCATACAGCAGTTCACATATACTTTGTCTCATGTCATTGACCA